ATTACACATACATACATATACATATACATTATGTCTGTCTGTATGTACCTATATTTATATATCTATCTATTAATGTCTATCTATCTATCGGTCTATCTCTCTATCTATCTATATAACCATCTATCTGTCTACCTACCAATCTATCTATCTATCAATTTGCACAAACACATATACATCACAAACAGACTTAAAAAAACAACACAAAAAATCAACAAAAACATTCAAAACACTTAAAAAAAGAAAGAAAAACCAAAAAAAAACACACACAAAAAAATAAACAAATAGACGAGACCCCCCTTCCCCCCCCCCTTCTCTCTCCTCTCCCAGAACAGAAAACGAGAAAATTCCTTGGGCCAGAGAGAGCGCGTCCAGGTTTGTGTCCATGTGCGCGATGGCCCGGTTGTCATTCACTCTTGCCTGATGCTCTGTCATGCACCGAATTTGCAGGATCTCTTTCGCTTTTTTTTTGCAATTGCTGTCCTCCCCCCCACCCCCCGTTGCAGGATTTGTGTTTTTGAGTGAATTGGGAGGTGGGTTTAGGTGTTTGGTTTTGGGGTTTGAGTTTGGCGGTTGTTGTTGTCGGTGTAAAATGTGGCGTTTTTGATGCTTTGATGAAGTTGATAATGATACGCACACACACACACACACACACACACACACACACACACACACACACACTCACACACACACAACACACACACATATATATATATATATATATATATATATATATATATATATATATAATATATATATATATATATATATATATATATATATATATATATATATATATATATATATATATATATATAATATATACATATACATATATATATGTCTGTCTGTATGTACCTATATTTATATATCTATCTATTAATGTATATCTATCTATCGGTCTATCTCTCTATCTATTTATATAACCATCTATCTGTCTACCTACCAATCTATCTATCTATCAATTTGCGCATACACATTTACATTACAACAGACTTAAAGAAATAAAAAACACAAAAAATCAACAAAAAATCACAACACTTAAAAAAAGAAAGAAAACCAATAAAAAAAACACACAAAAAAATAAACAAATAGACGAGACCCCCTCCCCCCTCCCCCCTTCTCCTCTCCTCTCCCAGAACAGAAAACGAGAATATTTCCTTGGGCCAGAGAGAGCGCGTCCAGGTTGTGTCATGTGCGCGATGGCCGGTGTCATTCACTCTTGCCTGATGCTCTGTCATGCACCGAATTTGCAGGATCTTTTCTTTTTTTGCAATTGCTGTCCTCCCCCCCCCCCCCCGTTGCAGGATTGTTGTTATTTGAGTGAATTTGGGAGGTGGGTTTAGGTGTTTGGTTTTGGGTTTTGAGTTTGGGGTTGTTGTCTCGGTGTAAATTGTGGCGTTTTGGATTCTTTGATGAAGTAAAGAATGATACGCACACGCACCACAACATGCAACACAACACACACACACACCACACACACACACACACACACACACACACACACACACACACACACAACACAAACCAACACACACACACACACATATATATATTATATATATTATATAGATATATATAATATATATAAAGGAGAATCACAAGAAAAGACAAAAAAAAAGTGTTCTTGTCTCTAGTTTGTAAAAATCTCTCTTTTCATATATTATATTTCAACACAACACACACACACACCACAACACACACACCACACCACACACACACACACACACACACACACACACACACACACACACATATAATATATATATATATATATTATTATATATATATATTTGTGTGTATGTTGGTGTGTGTGTGTGTGTGTGTGTGTGTGTGTGTGTGTAATATAGATATATGAAAATGAGAGATTTTTACAAAACTAGAGACAAGAACACTTTTTTGTCTTTTCTTGCTGATTCTCTCTTTATCCCCTCTTTCTTTAACAAAAGTAAAGAAAATAATGATAATGATGATAATGATAATAAAAATAGTAATAATACGGTAAGAATGATAAGAATAATAGTAATAAGAATAATGATGATTAATAATGATAATAATAACGATAAAGATAATAATATAATAATGTAACTCAAACTATTAAACAACAACAATAATAATGACAACCAACTAATGATTATAATTATAAAGTCTAAATTATCTCATCAACATTACTAAAGCTGCATTTTACCATAAAAGAAAAGAAAAGGAAGTGATTAAAATGCTAAGAAACACCAAAATAAGGAAGAGATTTTTTTTCTTTCCTAAAGTAATTGATCATAATTCGAGAATGGAATTTCAGTTATATGAACCACCACATTAAAGAACCCGAGTGATACATTAAAAAAATTCTGGAATGAGAATGAGAAATTTGATGATGACAATTAACGCACGCTCACAAACACATATTCGTACGCACAGACGCACAAACACACACCACAACACACGCACACACACACACAAACGCACAAACACACACGCTCACACACCACACACAACACACAACACAACACACACAACACACACATATATATATATATATATTATATATATATATATATACATATATATATATAGATAGATAGATAGATAGATAGAGTAGATGATAGATAGATAGATAGATAGATAGATAGATCGATGGGTAGATAGACAGATAGATAGATAGGTAGATGACATGAGATATATATTGATTAAGATTTATAAGATAGACAGAGAGATAGAGACATATATGGATGTATAGAGATATAGATATATAGATAGGTGGAGAGAGGAAGAGACACAAACAGACAGACAGACAGACAGACAGACAAAGAGACGGACAGCCAGACAGACAGACAGACAGGCAGAGACAGACAGACAAACAGATAGACAGATATATAGACAGTCAGTTAGATAGACAAATAAACAGACAGACAGACAGACATAAAGAATGACAGACAGACAGAAACATAGCCAGACAGACAGACAGACAATCAAAAAGAGTCAACGAGAAAAATTCGCTCGTAACAAAAGCCAACAATCCTAAACCAACGCTAATTATGAGAGACTATTCCCAGGAAGGCGTCACAAGCTCAGGTCAATAGGGTGACCTTTCGTGACCTCGGAGAACAACCCAACGAAGAGTGTTCTTTTCTTACATTTCTTGACATTCTTGGTTATCAAGTTATAACTTATTGTAAAAGAATTATGGCTAGAATAGATAGATAGATAGATAGATAGATAGATAGGATGATAGATAGATAGATAGATAGGTAGGGTAGGTAGGTAGGTAGATAGATAGATAGATATAGAGGGAGGGAGAGGGAAGAGAGAGAGAGAGAGAGAGAGAGAGAGAGAGAGAGAGAGAGAGAGAGAGAGAGAGAGAGAGAGAGAGAGAGAGAGAGAGAGAGAAGAGAGAGAGAGAGAGAGAGAGAGAGAGAGAGAGAGAGAAGAGAGAGAGAGAGAGAGAGAGAGAGAGAGAGAGAGAGAGAGAGAGAGAGAGAGAGAGAGAGAGAGAGAGAGAGAGAGAGAGAGAGAGAAGAGAGAGAGAGAGAGAGAGAGAGAGAGAGAGAGAGAAGAGAGAGAGAGAGAAGAGAGAGAGAGAGAGAGAGAGAGAGAGAAAGAGAGAGAGAGAGAGAGAGGAAAGAGAGAGAAGAGAGAGAGAGAGAGAGAGAGAGAGAGAGAGAGAGAGAGAGAGAGAGAGAGAGAGAGAGAGAGAGAGAGAGAGAGAGAGAGAGAGAGAGAGAGAGAGAGAGAGAGCGAGAGAGAGAGAGAGAGAGAGAGAGAGAGAGAGAGAGAGAGAGAGAGGAGAGAAGAGAGAAGAGAGAGAGAGAGAGAAGAGAGAAGAAAGAAGAAAGAAAAGAAAGAGATTTGAAAAAAACATCCTTTTGCCCCCCCCCAAAAAAAAAAAATCTACCCGACTTCCGGGTCATAAGACTGAGTGAAAATTCTCTTCACAATACATCATATGGATAATGCCAAATGTAATGATATTGGTCATTACTGGTCCTAATGGTAAATGACTTATAGTTAAGAAATTTTTGTATTTTTATTTTATTCAGGTCTAAAAAAAAACATTACATTGGTAAACATAAGCATAGTAGTGATAAATGATGATATGATATTTATGATAGGTCTTTATGTGATGAATGATGATTATAACAATTATGAAATAGTAATTATAGCAGAATATAATAATAATCCATGTTAGGATTGATGATTATAGTAATATATAACCGATGCTTATAATGATGATATGAATACATGATAATAATATAAATAATAATAATATATAATAATAATAATAATATAATAATAATAATAATAATAATAATAATACATAATAATAATGATATAATTGATAATCCGATATATAGCTAATAATAATAAACCTAAAAAAATTTGATAAATGAAAAATAATAAGTAATAATGATAAATGAAAAATAATAATATAATTGATAATGATAATAATTATATCGTCATCATCAAAATCTAAATATCAGTAATGTAATAAATAGTACTGTTAAATGATATACCAGCAATAATATGAATAATAAAGTATAACAATAGCAATATAGCAATAATAGTGATAAAACTACTGAAATACAGTTATGACTGAAATACGGTAATTATTAAGATGCATCGAGACAACATGAAGAAGCGAAAATTCATTTGAAAAGATAAATAAAATAAAACCCCTAACAAATATACAAAACTGAAATATATAAATGGATAAATAAGAATAAGAACGAGAGTAAAAAGCGAAAAAAGAGGAATAATAAAATGGTTAAAAAGAAAAATGACAAGAAACTCATTAAAAAGCGAAAGAGGGATTAGAAAAAGAAGCAGAAAAAAAAATGAAGAATATAAAATAGTATGATAATATTAAAGCACTCATTTTCAGGACTTGTTAAGTGGGGTCTAATTAACAGCGTCTTAAAGTCAGCTGCAACCTCATTCTTACACCCCCTCCCCCCCCTATTCCCTTCCTTTCTCCCGCCTCCCTTCCATTCCCTCCTTTCCTTCCCCTTCCTTCTTCTTTATCTTCTGTTCCCTTTCTCTTATATTTTTTCCTGTCTACGTATTTCTCTTGTAGTAATATCTCTGTCCTCGGGTTTCTTCTCTTGGTCGGGCCAGGTTTCCTCGCCCCTCTCGTTTTCGATTTCTGCCTTTTATCTATCGTCTCCCTCCTCTCCACCCTCGGCTCGTTCCCTTTCTCTCTTTCTCTTGGTCTATGCTGTCTGTCTCCCTCTGCCCATCTTTCTCCAGCCGCCGGCCGGCGGCCCGCTCCCTCTCTCTTGTTTTCGCTCCTACTGCTCCCGCCCTTCTCACCTCCCATCCGTCGGGATCCTCTCCTTTCCTCCCTGCTGCCGGGGCCCGGGGCGGGCCTGCCTCCGGTACGCCGGCCCTCCGTCGTCCCGCCTCGGGCCTTTCGGGTCCCTGCTCCCGTCTTCGGCGTCATCCGTCCTCTCTCGTGCGTCATCTTACTTCCCGGCCCTCGCTGGCGCCTCCTCTCTCTCTCCTCTCTCTCCGCTCCGGTCTCCTCGTTCTCGTCCTCCGCCCCGTCGCGGGCGCGAGCGCTGCCATCGGTCTTGTCTCCTCGCGTTCCTGTTCTTCCCTCCCTTCCCTTCCTCCCGCTCCCGTCCCCTGTCTCCTCTGCTCTCTCTGCCTTCGCCCTCTCTTCTCTCTCTCTTTCTCTCTCGCCGTGGCTCGTCTCCCTCGGCTCTTTTCTTTCCTGGCTCTTTGGCCGCGGCCCGCTCCCGGCTTTCTCCTCGCGGCTCTCTCCTCGCCGTCCCCCGTCGACG